ATGGAGCGATCGGATGGATTATGGCTCGACAGAATATCCAAACGAGCCCACCACGCCACGCCAATGGACTTCAGTTTCCGCATTCACGGTACAATTTTGGAGCGACACCGTGCCATTTGGACAAATGGAGCGATCGTGAATGGCGGCCTTTAGGCGTTGAGCAGTTTTATCTCCCACACATGCGATGGTTACAGTTGTTCATGAGAACATCACTTGGCTCAGAGTTCTTTGTAATATTCTTCATAAATTTTGTTTTTTCCTATTCCCAGAAACAGAGTGCAATGGTGCAAAGTCAGAGTGTCAGGAGGACCATGTATGTAAATAACAAGTGTGGCCACTGATCCAATTTGTAGCACAGCTACCCACTTTTCTTGTTAAATATCCTCATGTCCCACAAAATCCGACAATAGTGACCCACTTCTGAAATAAGTCACGGTTTATTTGCTTTTCTGTATTCGTCTTCTTCACATATTAGGCTAAAGATCCTGTTGTGTCGCCAGTTGAGCTCCCATTCCTTTCCTTGGTCACTTTTGTCTTGGTTTTCATTTTCACTTCCTAATTTAATAATTTTGTTCCTCTTCACATATCCTGTTTGTGTGTACTATACTTGTAAATGAAGGCGGTAGCGAGAAATGTCTGCACTTTCCTGCAGTAATGGGACAGTATCCCATAACATTAAAGAGAACACAGTGTTTAAGTCTTATGGCTTATGAAGGAATGTTTGTGAGAACAGAACTTTATCCCTATGAGATATTGAAGTCTATTTTAACATAGTAACTTACATTTTGCTTCCGCTGAAATGCGTGAATAATGTGTGGAGTTAATTTTGGTTTGCTGTGTATTATTCTTACACGAACAAAACTTTCCTGGGAAAAATGAGATGTATTTAAAATAATTCCCCAAAAAAATTATTACCTGTATGTGAGAATGATATTACACAATAATATTTTCTCGGGTGTTAAGCCTAGAAAATTTTATGAAGTTACGTCACTGCGAAAGCTTCAAATCGTAATGACAGTAGACTTTATTGCTCGAGTTTTTAGAGTTTTTGCAGTACTGCATCTTTAGTAAATTGTCATTCATAGATTTTTATAATACTGTACATGATTGTGTGTACTGTGATATTCTGCCAGTTTTACCACTTTTATTATTTTAATGATTCTTATTTGTGTTTGTGTTTTGTGATCAGGTACATAGGTGAAGTGCATTCTGAGAAGGTGAAACAGACTAATTCAGTGGTTGGAAATCAACCCTGCTCCGTTAAAAACCCTATCATAACTGTGACTGAACATACACCAACTCCATCGCCAGATTACATGAAAAGACAGGTAAACTTTTTTTTACATATTCACTGTACAGGGACTTTGAATTGGTGAGTTGTAGAAGGTAACAGTCTTTTTTACGTGACTGTAATGTCTGATTGTGATGTGCAGAGGATGAAGAAGACAAAGCATGGTGAAGGACATATGATGGATGAGAACAAGGGATGGCCATACTTTTACAGGATGCTCCAGTAGTTTGAAAAGAAAGGACGGTCGCATTATGGCAAAGAAGGTAGATGAAGATTTCCGTCTTCTGGGTTGTTGCGCTGTGTAGTCTGGTCGAT